GCCATCGTCTTGGGGTAGCTTTCGTTCGGGTATACTTCTGGGGGCTCGTACCACCGATTTTCAGGGTCCCGAGTTGCGTTGCACGGTCCGAGGGGATGGCCGATGTACTTCATTGACACCTGCTTCAACTCATTGACATGCTGATACAACCGTGACCAGGCAACGAACGCATCGTCGTCAACTTTCATGAACAAGTCCATCGGCGCGAGTTGGTGGTGGAAGTACTGCATGGAGGCCAACACCTTCAGGGTCAGTCGTCCGTGCGAGTAGCCCTCCTCACAACGAAGGAACACGAGATCGTGGAACCTGTCCTGCTCTGCCTCCAATGCCTGGGATATCTTCTTTTCCTCATCCACTTGACCCTACTACCATCCGACTCCTCCGCCCCCTGGTGGTGGTGGTCGCCGTCGTCGTCGTGGTGGTTGCGGTCGTTATGGTGGTGGTGGTCGTCGTCGTCGTCGCCGTCCTCGTCGTCGTCGTTGTCGTCGTCGTCTTTGTCGTCGTCGTCGTCCTCGTCGTCGTCATCGTCTTGGCCGTGGTCGTCGTCGTCGTCGTCGTCGTGGTAGTCGTCATCGTCGTCGCGCCCCCTCCTCGTCCTCCTCTCCGTTGCTCTTCTTACTCTCTGCCTCAAGCTCCAGCCGCGGCGACGAGCCCCCAGAGCGCTGACTCCCCCCCCTCCTCCTCCTCCTCCTCCTCCTCCTCCTCCTCCTCCTCCTCCTCCTCCTCCTCCTCCTCCTCCTCCTCCTCGTCCTCGTCCTCCTCCTCCTCCTCCTCCTCCTCCTCCTCCTCCTCCTCCTCCTCCCCCTCTTCCTCCTTCATTCCTTCTCCTTATAGATAACTCCTCCCTGTCGCACCCCAAGGCCAATTTTTAGGGCGGGCCGGGCGCTTCGCCTGAGAATTCCTCATCTTCTGACGACTCTCGAGCATAAACGTTGGCAACAGTTTCACACATGGAGGGCGTGTAGTTTTCAAAATGTGGCTCTCGCCTTAGCGCCGCGGACATTCGTTTTGAACATTTGCAAGAGCTTCACGGACTGAGGGCGGGCCGTTTTCAAAATGTGGCTCTCGCCTCAGCGCGGCGCACATTCGTTTTTTTGTATAAAAAATTGCAAGGGCTTCACGGGTTCCCATGACCAGCGTAACAGAAATTGTGTTTTGGAAGGAATCAGGATTATGAGGGCGCAACAATTACGTTGATTCGAGGTGTTCAAGTCTCAGGAACGGCGTTTTGCACGATTCAGGGTCGTCAAGACGCAACAATCAGGTTGATCCGTGGCGTTGGAATCCCGAGAACAATGTTTTGGCATGCTTCAGGGTCTTCAAACGGTTGTATTCCAACGATGCCGTCCCCTCTGTGGACATGAACCGTTGTAGGTGTCTATCAAGAGGGAGCTTGGAGGGATTCCAACATCGTTGATGCCTCTTGGGTTTACACTGGTCCTCCTCCTCCTCCTCCTCCTCCTCCTCCTCCTCCTCCTCCTCCCCTCTCCTTAAATATAACTTCTCCCTGTAGCCTGTCGCACCCCAGGGCCAGTCGAAAGGGCGGGCCCGACGTTTCGCCTGAGACTTCGTTGCCATCTATGAGCCTGAAGCGAAACATATGACAACATATTCTCAGATGGAGGGCGGATCGCTTCCAAAGTGTGGCTCTCGCCGTAGCACCGCGCACATCCGTCTTAACAAAAAGCAGGAGCTTCCCGCATGGAGGGCGGGGCGTTTTCAAAATGTGGCTCTCGCCTTGGCGCCGCGCGCACGTCAGAATTCGCCGGCCCAACGGGCCAGAGGCGTGCTAAGATCTCCGGTAACTGATTAACAATATTGCTAGTTCGCGCGCGCGGGGCGGCCCCTGGGGGGCCCCGGGCGAAAAGTACCCCGGCCGGTCCCTGGCTGATCCCCGGGCGATCCCCAGGGGGGAGGCTATTTTTCGCCACCCCTCACGAGGATCGTGGCCTCCGAGACGGGGGCTGCAATCGACTGCCCCCCCGCCCGCCCCAAGGGGCCCCCAAGAGCCCCCCAAGAGGCCCCAGGGGAGCCCAATACGCTGCCAGGGAGTCCCAAGACGCTCCCAAGAAGCCCCCAAGACGGCCCCAAGAGGCCCCAAATAGCGCTCCAGGGCCGGCGGAATGAGCGAAGCGATTGAATAGATGCAAGAGCTTCACGGATGGAGGGCGTGCCGTTTTCAAAATGTGGCACTCGCCTCAGCGCCGCGCGCACTCGTCATAGCAACTCAGAAAAGCTTCACTGATGGAGGGCGGTTTCTTTTCACAACGTGGCTCTCGCTTCAACGCCGCGCACATTCGTTTTGAGTCTGCAACAGCTTCAGGGACTCTCATGGTTAACGTCCGAGAAATTGTGTTCCCGCATGATGCTGGAGCGTGAGGGCGCAATCGTTACGTTGATTCGTGGTGTTGAAGTCCCAGGAATGGTGCTCTGGCACGGCTCAGGATCGTCAGGACGCAACAGCACTGGTGATTCGCGGTGTTGAAATCCACTGAAAGGT